AGAGAGAGAGAGAGAGAGAGAGAGAGAGAGAGAGAGAGAGAGAGAGAGAAACAGACAGAGCAGACGACATAAGGCGCCATCAGCGACTGTTGCTGTGCGCCAGGGTCCACTTGTGCTTTTAACCGGTGTCGGTGGACGCAACTGCTGTCTGGTCAGGTCATCACACCCCGAGATAGTGTAGGCGTGATTGACCTGAGCGGCAGACAAAATGAGGTAGGACTGATGTACGACTGAGGGTGCCCCAGGGAAAGAACTGCGACGAAAGGGAGTTGGGTTGGGTTGCTAGAGGGGGAAGACCCTAGAAAACAAAACAAAACAAAACAGACCAAACTCAACAAAAGAATGCCCCCGATGTCAAACAACCAATACCTCCACATTTTTAGGCTGTTAACGCCGTTAACGCCGAATCGGTGCGCCACGCAGGTCCATACGCATTTGCCTCAGAGCCTTCCCACGGGGGGCCTAAGACCCCCCGGGGTGGGCCAGTGTCGTGCCCCCTACTCTTTAGGAGAGGCAGGAATGAAACAACGGCCACCGCCGATGAGATTTATCAACGGCGGGCGGGCATCGTCAGGCCCGGCCTCCGATTTTTTCAGGAGGAGGATATTTTACCAGTTTTCCACAACGGCGGGAAAGGTTGTGTGGTGCTTTAAGCGGGAAGAACTTAAAGTAGGTAAAAAAAAAACCTCCACTCTAATACTACTATACAACGTATGCGTCCATTACGTCGTCTAATTGCATCAGGATTTTCCATTGTCCTTCATTTTTAACACGAACTTGCTACAGCCAATACTATCGGGCAGGGATAAGTGCCCATGCCTGATGCGACGTCCCACGCTCGTGTTGGCTCCGGTCTTATTCGTTGGGAGTGCCACGTGCTGCAAAGCGGACTCACTTTTTAAAAACAATGGCAACAACTACGACTTTTAAAAACAACGGCAACAATTATGACAACATCTAGACTACCAGCCGGGCCGCCCGGGTCCCGGGCGGCCAGCCCGTGCAAGGAAGGACCAGGGAAGGTTCCAGCAAAAAAAAAAAAAAAAAAAAAAAAAAAAAAAAAAAAAAAAAAAAAAAAAAAAAAAAAAAAAAAAAGGGATGGTGCCAGGCTTGAGCGCTGGGCTTTTGCGTATTTTTGGGTAC